TCGTCTATTTGGTAATTTTGATCCTTTTCAAATTTTTTGTGCTTGTTTTCAACTTAGTTTTTAAGAAGTGTGAAAATTTTGAGTTAAGATAAATAGTTTATTTATTAGTTATTGAGGTTTAAATCTATTGTAGAAATTAATAGGATTTGGTTCAGGGTTTAGAGTTTGGTTAGGATTTGATTTAGGATTAGGATTTGGTTAGGATTTGATTTAGGATTAGGATTTGATTAGGATTTGATTTAGGATTTAGAATTTGATTAGGATTTAATTTAGGATTAGGATTTGATTAGGATTTGATTTAGGATTAGGATTTGATTAGGATTTAATTTAGAATTAGGATTTGATTAGGATTTGATTTAGGATTAGGATTTGGTTAGGATTTGGTTTAGGATTTGGTTAGAATTTGGTTTAGGATTTTATTTGAGTATATTTAGGATTTAAGATTTAATTAATTTTTTGCCTAAATTTTGAATAAAATCTAATAGGATTTCAACTAGGATTAAATTAAGATTGAATTGAGATGTATTTGAGATATATTTGTAATCATTCTAATATTTCTTTAAGATTTCTTATTGTTTCTTTGTAATTCTTTTGAAGTTTTGCTGAATTTGAATAAAGTTTGTTTAGCATTGTTAGTGTTCAATTAGAATTAGGATTTTGTTGTAGTAATTTCCATTCTACCTTCCACAGCCAGGTATCCAAAGCATTTTTAAGCAAGACTTCATGTATTACGACACTGTACACGTAGAAGTCATAGATAGTCATCCATTATCTTTTGGAGATATTAGTCATGAAACACTTCCTTTAGATGTAGTAATAAATGATGATAATAGTTATTTAATTTTTAATATAATTAGATTTTCTTCTAATCCAGTCATTTTAGGTTTATCGTGGCTAGAAAAGTATAATTTTGTGATAGATTGGATTTCTTATAAACTTGAGTTTTCTTCAAACATCACTAAGAGTTTTTTCTATTCCAGTAGAAAGCCATGATTTTAGTGTAGCCAAACCTATACTTATAGGTACAAAAGCTTTTTTGCATGCTACAAAAAAAAAAAGATTATCTTTTGTTATTTATGCCACAATCATTTTCAATGATGGAAAAATTTTAAGTAAAATTTCAAGTCAATATCAAAATTTTCAAGTTTTTTTGAGAAGAATAATATAAATATTCTCTCAAAGAATTGTTCATATAATTACTCAATTGATCTTAAAAAAAAGAACTCAATTGTCATTTGATCCAATTTATACTTTATCACAAAATAAGTTGGCTGAGCTCAAAAAATACATTGATAAGAACTTGGCGAAGAATTTCATATGCCATTCAAAATCTCTTGCAAGAGCTCCTATCTTATTTGTAAAAAAAAAAAAAAAAAAAAAAAAAAAAAAAAAATGATCATTATGAATGTATGTAGATTATCAAGGATTCAATAAGATTATCATCAAGAATAGATATCTTCTACTTATGATATCTAGACTTCTTGATCAATTAAATGAAGCTAAGATCTATAAAAAAAAAAATAGATCTATGAGGAGTGTACAATTTGGTTTGCATCAAAAAAAAAAAAAAAAAAAAAAAAAAAAAAGATAAATAGAAGACTACATTTCAAACAAGGTATGGACACTTGGAATATAATGTCATGCCTTTTGGACTCACAAATGCACCAACTACTTTTCAAAATCTTATGAATGATATTTTTTGTGAATTTCTAAATGATTTTGTTGTCTGTTATTTAGATGATATTTTAATCTATTCTAAGAATATAAAAGAATATGAAGTTCATATTTGTTTTGTATTACAAAAACTTAGAGATGCAAAATTATATGCCAGAATGGAAAAGTATGTATTCTATACTACTCAAGTTGGCTTCTTAGGATACATCATTTCAAAAAATGGTCTAATCATAGATCCTAAAAAAATTCATACAATCATAAATTAGAAGATTTCAAAAATAATAAGAGATGTACAATATTTTTTGGAATTTGCCAATTACTATTGGATCTTCATCAAGAACTTTTTTTAAGTTGCATTGCCACTTACATGCTTAACTTGTAAAGACAAGCTTAAATGGAGTAAAGATACAGAAGCATTATTTAAAGCTTTGAAGAAAGCTTTTACTTCTACACTAATCTTACATCGCATCGACTTTTTTAAAGCATTTTTTATAGAGACAAATGCATCTGACTTTTCCTTGGGTGCAATCTTGTCACAAATAGGAGTAGATGACAAACTTCATCCAATAGCTTTTCTTTGAAGAAAATTTTCAATAGCCAAGATTAATTATGACATCCACAACAAGGAACTTCTTGTAATTGTAGATTCTTTTCAAGAATGGCATTATTATTTAGAAGGCACTTCAAATCCAATCATCGTGTATACAGATCATAAGAACCTTTAGTATTTCATGTCAATACTTATTTTAAATCATCGTCAAGCTCATTGGAGAATGTCTTTATCAAGATCTAAGTTCAATATCACTTATCGACTAAGAAAATAATAAGGTTTATTTGATGTCCTTTCTAGATATTTTTATCTCATATCAAAAGAAAGAGAAGTGGCTTTTGATCAACAAAAGATAATTTTACTAAAACCAAAATAATTTCATCTCCAAGCAATGAAATCAACATTAACTGTTGATTTGACTTTTTTCAAGCAGATTTAAATAAGTGTGTCCTCAAACCCTCTTGTTCATGATATTAAAAATAATTCTTCTAAGTCTCAAGATACTTTCAAGTTTGAGTTTAAGAGAATATATTCTATTTTAAAGGATGCTTATATATTCTAGAAAGAGAAGCATAATTACTTCCTCTTGAAACTCATTTTAATTTCCCTCTAGTAGGATATTTTGGATATAATAAGATTTTAGAGCTTATATCCAAAGATTTTTGGTGGCCTCAAATGTGGAAGGCTCTTAAAGAATTTGTATAGACATGTGATGTTTGTTCAAGATCAAAAACTCTTCATCATTGACCTTATGGATTCTTCCAACCATTATCTATACCAAAACAACCATGGATTTCTGTCTTTGTAGATTTTATCACGCATCTTTTAATTTCAAGTTCATATGATTCTATATTTGTGATTGTAGATTGTTTCACTAAGATGGCACATTTTGTACCATGTACAAAATCTATTAAAGGTGAATAAATAGCTAAACTCTTCTTTGACAACATCTATTGCTATCATGGATTACCAAAGGATATTATATCAAACAGAGAAATTCAATTTTTATCAAGATTTTGGAGAATTCTTTTTATGATATTGAAAGTGGATATAAAACTATCTTTGGCTTTCTACCCTCAAACTAATGGATAAACAAAATAGATAAATTAAATTTTAGAGTAGTATTTGAGGTATATCATTAACTATCAATAAGATGATTGGACAACTCTTTTGCCATTGGTAAAGTTTGCTTACAATAATTCAGTACATTTTTTTACAAAACAAACACCTTTTTTTGCAATTATGATTATCATCTATGATTTGATATTTTTGACTTTTCAAAAGTTGATAATCATGTGGTGAAAGATGTGACAAATTGATTATTAGAGCTACATGTAATAATGAAGGCACAATTAAAAGAAGCTCAAGAACAACAAAAAGTTAATACAGATATCTATCGCAAGGAACAACCTCAATTCTACATATGGGATAAAGTATGATTACTTTGTCATAATATTAATACTATTTATCTTTGTGATAAGCTCAATTATTATAGGTTTAGACCATTTTCTATTTGTGAACAGATCAATCCAATTGCTTATCAGTTACCTCTACCAAAGTCTATGAAAATCCATCATATATTTTATGTGTCTTTATTTAAGTCATATAAGACAATAGTTATACAAGGAAGGAGACAAATGCCACCACCTCCTATAGAAATAGATAATAATGAAGAATTTGATGTGGAAGAAGTCTTAGATTTAAGGCGGCACAAAAATAGGTTAGAATATTTAGTACATTAGCATGGATATGACATTAATGAATGTACATGGGAGCCATCCAAGAATCTAGTAAATGCACTAGTCAAAGTTAAACCTTTTCATCAATGAAATCCATCAAAACCAAGATGAAGAGTTAAGAAATTCTTTGCTATAAAGCAAAACAAGTCCAATGGAGATTTCATTTTATCTTGTATTATTGTTTCTTTGGATTTTTTAGTACTTAGGAGATGGAGAACTAAGAACCAGTAGATTCAATTCAAGAGCTATCATTTCATGAGCTATCAAACGAGACATTGCAACTATTACAACCTTTGAGATGGCAAAATCGAGATGAAGACTCTCAAGAATGACATATTCTTCTTCAAATACACGGCAACACGTGTTTGGTACCACAATCTTAGAAGGAAATTGCAGTGTTTAATGATACTTTTGGAGGTAGGAACCACTCCCAATGGTATTACTAATATTTTGTTTGAAATAAAAAAATGTTAAAAAATTAAAGAAATTTTTTTTTCTCTACAAAAATAAGGATTTGCGATGGACTATAGTAGACAGCAACAAGGTGCGGCAGCTTAACAATAGGATGTAATAGATGGTAGTAGGGTATGGCAGTCAATGGTAAGGTGTGGTAGTTTGGCGACAATGTGCGGGAGTCAGTAATAGGATATTGTACATGGCAACAGAGTGCAATAGTTGGTAGTAGGGTGTAGCAATTCGGTGACAATGTACCGTAGTCAGTGGCAAGATGTGGCAGTTCGATAGTAGTGTGTAATAGTTAGTGGTAGAATGTGATGCAATACAAGCAATAGCAGCAGCACAGCATCAGAATTGGATACAACACAATAGCAACATAACAGTAGGATAGGGTACAATAGAACAGCAATACAACAATAGGATAGGATGCAGTACAATAGCAACTCAACAATACAACAAGTTAGAAAAAAAATGAAGAAAAAGTAAAAGATAAAGTGCACATAAGTTTTTAAGAAACAAGATTAGTACATAAGAGCAATTGTGTTGATAACATGTTGAAAATATTTGAAGAGACACAAGAGTAGTTAGAAGTAATGTGCACAAATACACACACACATTAGAGAGAGTATATTGATGTGATTATTTCTCATATACAAAGAGAAGAGAAGAAAATAAACAGTTTCTCCCCACTACATTCCAAAAATTGTAGCTAAAGTTTACAACAGTTTTACTATAAACTAAAGTAAATATTATGGAGAGCACTGGCTACATTTAATGCTCTCAACAATTGCAACAACATTTTTGCTATTGAGTGATCACTGGAATTCAGGATTGATATGAATAGAGAAAGCTAGAACTGCTAACTGTTTGTCAAGTGTGACGTTCGAGCAGAATGTGCAAGAATGTGAGCAGCTCATGAATATTGTCTGAAAACATGTGTCTTATTATCTGATGCTCAGAAGTTGAGTGGTCTTATTTTCCGCTGCATGGAGCTTGTACAGTCAGTGAATGATTTGACGTTCATTTTCTATCGTTTTGTACATTAAAGCGTAATGATTTCGATTGAGTAATGCCAAGGTCTATCAACTTGAAGATTTATGCTCTTGGTGGGAAATCTTATGAATAAGCCTGGACTACCGACGGTTTCCCCAGGGGTTCCACTTTGTTGATTGCTTCGCCATTTCTTGTGTGTTTGTAACTGAAAAGAACCAAAGCAAAAATGAAATTGCCACAAGCAATGCGACTAGTGTTCAGTGATAATGTTTCTTGTTATGAATTCACAGCTTTCTTCATGATAGAGTCGTCTGATCTATCAAAGTTGCAGAGAGTAATGAAGTAGAAGAAGGAGACCTTTTCAGCAACTTTCATGAAGGAGAAAATGGTCGAGCTGCTGGGCAAGCCAAGTAATTCCTTCGGTGGCGTGCAACGGAGACGAATGTCTTGGAGTTCTTCTTGTTCCTCATTTAGTGCGTTTCCACTCCATGGAGCCTACTTTGCTAGTGTCCACATACCACTGGTGAAAGAATTCCCCATGCGGTATATTGCTGCAGCCCAAGGAACCGGAACAAGCACGTGACCAGAACCAAGGAAAAGCAGAGCTGGGTAGTAAGGTAATACATGAAGGAGACGGGAATGAGAGTCAGAGAACGCTTCGCAGCTTTGTGTTCAAGATATGACACCACTCGGACGCATACACATACTAGCAAAATTCCAAGGAGAACTTGAATGAGCTCGAAGAGAGAAAGAAGCATCGCAGCAGCGGATTCCAACTTCACCTTCAACATGCTGATCTGAAGGTCACAACTCCAGCGCAGGTGAAAATGATTTACGCTCCTCTTTGATCTCAACTTGAAGCAAGGAGTTGGAGGTTTTGGAACACAAAAGACAAGAATGAAAAGAGAAATCGGTCGAAGAAGGAAACTTCACCATTTACGCTATTTGCGAAAGATCGGTGGCAATATAACATAGTGCACGACGGATTGATATGAGGCACGATGCTCAGCACGGAACACACATAGCAAATCAATGGAGTAGTGCCTGTATGTAGCTATGAGGACAAGGCGTGTATGGTGATGTGTGCAGCTAGACTTAGACTTGTCCAACCTGTCAACAAGTAACAGTGTGCGCACAAACATAAGAGCCTGAGACAAGGCGTTGACAGCATTTGAAAGCTTCGACAAGACTCTAAACTCTCGATGTGAGCTAGACGCACAGGATTGTTATACCAACAATTTTTTAAGCTACGAAACTAAGACCCATCAGCATAACAGTTCTGTGCGATTCCTAGGCTTCGCAGTCCACTATTTTGAAGATCTAGAAATGATCGAGTAAGTAATAGCTACTAGAGTATGAAGCATTCCCAGTACTAGCAAAAGAGATTTGTGAAGCGTGTGTGACGTGTGTAGGCTCAAATTATGTTCTGAAACCATGCGCCTCACTTCGACCAACTTCCACCTCATTTCTAAAGTTGCTTCCACCGAAGGACCCTGTTTCAGCGGCGCAGCATTGCACAATCATGTAGAGTTGTGAAGAGAACGACAGTTTCACAGCATTTACACGTCATCTCATCACCAAGAGGTCAGAGACTCTTTTGGATGCATTTGATACTAGTCCAACAGATCTGTCAGAATAACCCTAAACAACTAGAATTATTTGACATGGGCGCATGCAGCTATAGCCCTCCATGTCGAGAATTTACTCAGAACTGGGGGGTGGGGCCTGGTATGATTCCCAGAAGAGGACTAGCCATACCCAAAAGACCTTGCTTGAATAATAGATGGACGTAGTGAGCGTTTAAGAATTTCAATCTGCTCTCCAATCATTCACAAGGATTTTACAGAGAAACAGCATCGCTCTCAGTATTACTGGTAATCTCCACTAGACTGACACATCTGCACATCTGGATGGATTAGCTCCACACGCGTTGTCCGAAAACCCAACCCAACAGTCCAACAACCAGTGCAACGGAAGACTTGCAAAAAAAAGAAGGTTTGCATTAAATTCCAATGTGTCCAATTTGAGATTGCATTGATGGTTGCATGCTCTGTGCCAGCTCATGAAGTAGTGATGAGCCACGACGAAGCCGAGGAATCAAACAGCTACTTGTGTGATGGGATTTGTGAGAAACAAATTAGATATATATATATATATATATATATTATGATGTTAGGGGCACTTTATATCTGGAAGTTCACTATGAAAGGTCATGGTTCAAAAGTTTTGCAAAGCTCTCTTCCTTGGTATAAAAATTACTTCTTTGTAAGGTTTGACTTTTGGATATAGCATAAAGTGAGAAGAGGCAATGAAATGGATCAAATCATTCTTTTATTAAAAATCTAAATGTATTAGTTCATATTTTTATTTAAATAATAATGAAAATTATTATTATTATTATTATTATTATTAGTTACTTTGAGCATTTTCTAATGAAGCTTCTTAATTTTCTCTAAATACTACTTCTTTGAGATAAACACAATGGAAATTCTAGGAAACAACACTATTTATACCATGCTAGAAAAAAATGCATTCTATCTCATCGTTTTCTTCTTAGATCCTTTGGACTTAGTTTTTCTAAATATAAAGCTAACTTAAAGACACATCTTGATTTCAATCAATCAAGCAATTTAAAAATTAAGACCTCTCACCTTGTGTCTTTATTATAAAGTATAGTTTAGATTAATTTCTTTTATTATATTAAACTTAAAAGAACAAGTGCAATTGATTGTAGAAAAAATAAACTAAGGAGTGTTTCTTTCAAATTGCCTTTTGTTTATTCCAAATATGTAAAAAGTATTAAAAACTGGTATAAATTATTATTAGATTTGCAAAAAAATGATTTTATATTTTATACTTATACTAACTAGTAAAAAATAAAAATAAAAAATAAAAATAAAAAAATAAAAAATGATTGCAATATTAAATAACAAGCCATCAAATGGATTTATATGCAAAAGAATTGGATTAATATCATAAAACTTAAAGAGCTTATGTTCAATATTAAAAAAATAGAAATAGTTGATATACTTGATTAAACTAAGTGATACAAAAAGATGTGTTGATAGATGTTACTTTATCTATATTTAATTCTTATTATTCTTAAATTATATCTATAAAAATTTACTAAATAATTGAGGTTTTCCTAAAATTATATAAATAGTAATTATTATATTATTTTTAAAATAGTAGATTATATATAATATAAATTTTTTTTAAATAAAAATATATTTCCAACTAATATTCTAAGCATGCACATTTTAAAGAGTTTGTCTAAGAAATTATGCACTTAATATTTTTATTATTAAAATAAAAAAAAGTCTCTAATACTACAAATAGGCTAAAATAGAGACTTATAATAAATCTACAAACATGGATTTTGTACAAACAAAAAATAAATAAGTTACATTACAATTTGATCATAAGTAGAATAGAATTTGAATATAGATTTTTTGTGTGAAGAATATATATATTAAAGATAAACATATAGAATATTATAATGAGAGAATAGATTGAGGAAAAAAATTAGGCTGATATTTAACTCAACTAAGCTATGTTACATATTTTAGATGAATTTTGTATACAACCAATTTAAGTTCACCATTTCTAAAGTAGATTCTAAAGTAGATTCTAAAATACACAACCGACCATGAAAACATATGAAGCACATGAGCTTCTACTTAAAAACTAATATAAATAAATAAGAATAAAGTCCATCAAGTATAAGAAAATGTGTTGTATATTGCATCTTTTTAGAATACAAAGTTTAAAAAGCACCCTTACACATTTATACATTACATATATCAATGCTAAATATTTGCTTTAAAGCCAAATAACTCAAGATTAAAACTTAAAATATTATTAGTTTTATTATACTGATAATAATTAATTATAAATATTTTATCTTAAATTAATCTATTGACACTATATATTAATCTATTGATGGTACAAAAAACCCCATATGATCTATTAAGTATTTACATGATTTTGCTTATTTATTCTACAAGTGTGTTTTTGGCAACTTCTACATCAAAAGAATTAAACAAAATCATAAAGATTTTAACATCTTCTAAAAAATAATAAATAAAATAAATAAATAAAATTGTTATTAATCAAAAATAAGAATAAAATTTGTAATGCATATAAAAATAAAAAGGTTTATTAATATCTTATTTATAATCTTAAAATTAAAAAACTTAAACTTTCAAATTTCAAATTTAAATAAAAGAAATTAAACTTAGAAGGTTGATTTATGTTCTTGTAGGCAATAGGATACAATCTCTTGAATAAGTCTTTATTACAACTAATTGCAATAACATCTTTGAATATGTCAAATGCATGTTGAACTTGTATTTAAAAATTTTGAAACAAAAAAATGTAATATGGAATATCAGGACTTATTTGAGATTTGGCAACAATTCATAGATTTCTAAAGTGACATGACATGTGAGATTGTGCCTACTTAGAAATATGAGAGGGTCAAAAGCTTATCATAATAATAACTTAGCTTCATAAAGCATTGAAGAAATTATGTACTATAATGATTGTAAAAGGGATTTCTTATACAATCTATTTTTGTTATGAATAAAATATTATGAATAATGTATTATATATATATATATATATATATATACTTATACTTATGCTTCAAAAAATATCTCTAATAAGTGCCTTGCTAATTTTGATTAATTGATTAGGATCCTAGATTAAGAGGATTATGCCTAGCCTATAGAGAGGTTAAAGATTTGCATAATTTGCAGCCTTATTCAATTTAATACCATACCTATTGACTAGGCACATTCTACCTATTTCACCCAATTAACTCATGGGATTTGAATTGAGCAAATTCCACCCAACTTCTCTATCTAACCAATAAATAAAGATTAGATACAATCAATAGTAGTGATTGTTGCGATAAGCATCAAATTTAGAAATTGCATCAAGAATGTATATATTTGTTGAAAAATACAATTCAAACATTTACTTTTAAATTATCTTATTGATTTCAATAGCCATCAAATTACATGGTATTATTATTGGCCACATATTACTTTTATTTGGTAATTTTAGTAATAAAATATAAAATAATAAAAATCTTTTATATTCTAATATTATTTTATAATTATATAAAAAAACAAAATTTAAAAATATTATAATCATTTAATGATATATATACATATATATATATATATATATATATATACTTACTTATTTAAAATAAATTTTGATGTGATACTTCTTGAAATTATAGATAAAATGCATACATTTTGGTCCCTCCCCCCTCCTTTTTAAGATATTTTGGTACCCTCTTTCAAACTCATTGATTCATTATCCTAAAGAAATTTCCAAACTCACTTGGATTGAGCTTCCAATACCCAAGTTAAAAATACCATGGAGAATATCAAAATATCTAAGAGAGGAGGGAGTGTACCAAAATATTTGAGCTTTATAAGCATTATAGTATTTTGAAAAAAATACTTTGTTATATTTAATGTTTTATTTTAAATTTTAAATTACTAGTTTGATCATAACTACATATATAAAATGACAATTTATTTTTTGTTAGATCAGAAATCTAAGTTTATAAATGTAGTTGTTAATATTTTAGAAAGGAAGTTGGTATTAAATTGTGATTTAACTTAGTATTTTATTTTGAATTAATCTAAAAATAAAATAAAATAAACTAATATATATATATATATATATATATATATATTATTAGATGTAAAAAATTATCATATATACATATGTACACACACATAAAAAATATATAGTCACAAACATTGGATTTTTTATATTACATTAATTAAATACATAATATTTTTAACCTAAGAAGATAGTCATATTTTTTGTTTGAAACTAATTACAAAAGATATACATATAAAATTTGACCCCGAAGGAGTCACAAGAGAATATGAGTACAAAGAAGTAAAATTGAATTTTATTTTTATATATATATATATATATATATATATATATAGAGAGAGAGAGAGAGAGAGAGAGAGAGAGAGAATTGAATGAGGCATTTGACCCTCTGTATGCAATGGCACAAGTGTTACCAAGAAGTTGACACGACAAAGTCACCTAGGTGGCCACCCCAAAGTAACCGTCCACAATGGAATGAAAATACAGCAAGCCTTCAAGCCATTGAGCAATTTGAAACCTTGAAGACGATATAAGCTTTGAGACAAAAACATCGTCCGATTTGCAGCCTCTCAATAGGGCGATGCTGCTTTCAGAGCCTCGCATGGTAGTTACCGAAAATTTATGGATAGAGATGTGTCAAAATACAAGTAAAACATCAGGGGTTAAGTAAAAGGAAATCATCAAGGCTTGAACTTCTTTCCTGTCTTGTTCATTCTCAAACTTACAAGTGAGTACACGGTAACAATGTTCAATGCGGTTCTTCTCGCATCTGACCCACTTGGAGTAGGGGCCAACAAAAGTTAAAGCTCTTATACACGAATGATATCTAGAAATTTAATTTATTTGGAATTCAAAATTGAAACTAAAACAACACTAAAGTGTGAAGCTTCCCCTGGGGCAGTAATCCGAGCTTTCAGAATCCTGGTCAGGATGTGGCCACTGATGCTTTTGAAACCATATGCACTGGTCATCCGTCTGTTTGAAACGAGGAGTCGATCAAAAGCCTTGGAGTGAAATAAGCAAATGAGACACTCCGAGGTCTCTGTTTTCGCTCGAATCTTATCTCAGAGCATAGGTAGCATTTACACGATTGATGGGCAAAACTGAGGCGGCATAATTTCACCAAAGTCAAAACTTCGTCACTAAAAATGGTCAATCTGTTATAAACAAAGTGGGTATTATACATCTGAGCGATGCCTCCAGTTCAGGTTGTCTGCACCAATAGACAAAACCAGTACTTTTAATACAGAGGTAATAGAAATTCACAATATGCAGACCAGAATCCACATCTAAGCCTAGAGTTTTCATGCGGAAGTTAAATCGGGACAAAATATTTACACTTTTGGAGGCAATGGATGTGTACCATAGGAAGAGGCTGGTCGCAGCTGTGCAATTTGACGAATGCAAGCAGCACCTGACATAAGGCCCAGAATAGCAATGCTGAAGACAGTACTGTTCTCGAACTTCGTTGACGAGACTCCCTGAAACATCGTACAAGTTAGCAGAAAGGATAATTAGAGAATGCAAAACACTAATTGTGTACTTTTTAATTAAGCACATAGCGACTCATAGTTCATAATTTCGCAGCATGACGTTGCTACAAATACTGTCCAAGGACTGACATTTCCCAAAGACATGTTCAGTAAGAGGATTACTTACTCTAATCAAAATTAGCAGCAGAATTGCACTAACAGGTGCTCGAAACAGACTTAGCATTGTAGCACGTCGGTCATTTTGGATGTAGCTGCGCGCAGAAACACCAGCTTAATACTTCAGAAGGTGACTTGAGACAATGAACATTGCTGTTGATCAAAAAACCCATATCAACAAATATTTGACTTTGAAATCCTCTGGGGGACGTAATCTCTTGATTTCAAGCAACACGTCCACATCATAATTAAACATGACGGTCAGATACGCAAAACAGAGAATTATGCACGCATCATGGAATTATAGGTATTTGCGGAGACTTACATGCTTCGAAGTCTAGCCAAGGATGGCCAGGCAATGCCAACACAGATATGGAATACGCTAAAGCAAGTCACCAGCACAGGAATATCCTGCAATCACAAACCGTATACTGAACTTAAATGTGGCACTCGTAAAATTGGTGTCATCAAATGTTTTATAACCCTACGAGAGCAGCAACCAACTAAAGCCAGGTAAACCAGTAGAAGCACCAGCAAAACTAAGACCTTCCTACACGTTCCTCGATCGTTCTAGGTTGACAAGAAACCCAACCTTAAACAAAATTTAGACGGCTTTCAGAGCTATTTACTACCAATTAAACATCTGTAGACAACAGATCATGTCTACAATCTACGATCCAGAACCATATCAAGCATATTTGTACACTAAGTACTCTTAGATAGCAGGTACTTTACCAGATTAACATACTTGACCTTACACACACTAGTTAGCAACCCTGTAAGATATGAAACGTATAATCCCGTTCAAGTGAAGAACAGTACCTGATAATCATAAGCTGGCAAGATCAAAGATGCACCCGCAACAAAGAGGACATAAGGGACATATATTTCAGGTATGACATTATAAGGGCCACAAAGGAAAGATGCTGCAATTGAACTCCCAAGCATCATAGAGCCCATCAAACAGGCATAAATAAGGCCAGTCTGAACCTCCCGCCCGTCTGCCTGACAAATTACAAAATAGGAAACATGAGACCATTAACTTATTAACTTCTAATAAACAAAAGGTAAAACGTTTTCAAACACTACGAGGTCAAAAGGGCGGGCATGGAGCAGCTTGAACCCTAAGGCACCAAAGCCTACAATGCACACATATGAGGCTAACGGAGGCTAGAAACCGACCAATACCAAAAAAATATTTGTCAGCAAGCATCTGCTTTTTGTTAGTGTAAAGTGCAGTTGTGATGAACCCTTTAGAAGAAGCCACAGTGCCAGATGAAAAATTTAGTACAGAGACATTGAATTGATGTTCTATCTAACAAAAAGCGCTAGTAGACGTAAAACTAACCACAAGGGTGGGAGTCCACAGCAGCCAAAACACAGCAATGGACAGGTCAAAGCCAGCTTGCGTCAAACCCAGCAAAGCAATCCTCTTATCTGCAGAGCATCACATTCCAAATTGTGATCAGATGTTTTTTAAAATATATATTACAGCTCTCCACACTTCAAAATTTTGCCTTTCAAAGCAATACATGTATTTACTAACAAGAATTATATATACACTACGAGATATAATCATTTTTCAAAATATAATTATATAGAAACGGGTAGTAACTACACTGACCAAAGGTCTTCCATTCGAACAAAAATGGACAACATCGTCCAACAAAACAATGACAATAAACTTATGAGGTTTATCTTTGACGAAAAGAACTAATGACCTATTCTGGTATTCCATTGAGCTGAAAATTACCATAAAATTAGGAGACTCACCACGAAGGGCCTGGATTCCGTTCAATAGTGGTTTGGATAGACCACCATAAAGAGTCCCCACGTTTTCATTCCATCCAAATATGATAGTGAGCAAACACAAGAATGTCACGAAACCAGCTACAACAGAGGGAGCCCTTGCACTAAGCGCTTGCTGTTCCATCAGAACATTTGCGATTGCTCCACTGCTTATACCGACAATGCCAGAGGCGAAAGCCATCATCCAGAATGTCTCACTCAACAATTCCTGCTTGAAGCCCACCTGCAGTTGCAAGAATACAATATTTGAATCAGGGTGTCTGAACAAAAGCTGAATTTAACAACAAAGAATACAACGTTCTGACTACGAAACCCTTTGAAAAGCATCTCCACCCTAAGGAAAGTTACGATATATTAAGAGTTGACATTACACTCTTGAGCTGTGTGTCAAGCTTCTGATCAAACAGTTTCAAACAAGGATCAAGAATGATTCAGATGTTTCCAGAACGCACAAGATATTCTTATCTCCATCGAATTTACCTTTTCATGTTCCGTTGTCATCCACGCTTCAAAAACAGAGAAGTACAAGGAGCTTGCTAATCCCAAACAAACATGACCAACGCTCAACACCTCGTAGTTGCTGGATAACTTTGCTAAGCAACCTAGAGCTTGAAGAATGCAATAAAGAATAGAAGCCCGCTTCCGACCCCTAAGCACGCAGCACCAAGTCAAAAACGATGTCAGCTTCATTTCATGCTTAGCCAATTAGATCCAATTCTTTCTCATGTAGTATCAGTTCTAAAGTCTCAGTAGTATTATTCAATTCTTGGCTAAGTATTAAGGCGTTAAACCTCACAAAACTGATATCGTAAACTACAAAAGCTAGAATACTGCTTCATAATTTCAATTCTTACAGGGAATCGGATGAAATTCCAAGAAATGTGCCTAAAAATAAGGAACTGCCATGTCCAACTGCAAGCAACGTCATCATCTCTGCTGTTGATAATCCATAGCTTTGATACAGCGCTTGCCAATGCACCTGAAGCAATCCGTCTGCCACTGGCATTACAACATACAAACACCCCATTGCAGTGAGTCAGAAAACTCCAATCCGCTGCAACATCCAAAGGCCACCTTGATACTATTTCAAACACTGATTTCTTCAGTAGGAAGTACCCTGCTATGCCTTGAAAAAAATAAATTATAATGACTAAGTGGTAAATTAGATCAGAATCGCGTAACAGGAATTCAGAAGGAAAAATATTTAACACAGAAAAGAGCAAAAGTGAGATTTTGATTAAAAAAATTGTTCAGAAAAACACTAGTGAACCATTCCGCCTATCATTTCCAAAATTTACCGAATACTAGAAGAAAATGTCAGCGGGATGTTGTTAGTCCACAGCCGTGATTACGAAATTCAAAGATAGATTCAGATTCGCAATTAATCGGAATCTCCGACTACAGTTAAGATTCGACCAAAATCTCTCATCGTCAGATCTGGGAGACAAGAATCCACCTGTTAAAAAAAAAACAAAACAAAACAAAACAAAAAAACAAATTGCAGAGCTAACATTCATCTCACATCAAAGGAAATGCAGATCTTACACGAGGCAAGGAGGAAGACGCAGAGGAAGAGACAGTGGAAAGCGGCGAACTGCGCGGTGAAGCGACCAAGCGCTGGAACCCTGTCGAGGAAAGGCGACTTCCCTTTGATCCAGACGCGGCTACACAGCACCGACATGCAAGCAAAAATCTGGAAAACGTACAGCCAGCGGGGGCCGTCCCAGACTTCCTCCTCCATAGCCGCTACGAGTAATGGTGAAAGGGAGTGTTGCGAGAGAGAGAGAGAGAGCGGAGAGCTTGGATCACACCATAGCATTGAGGAGGCCTTGTTTATTTGAGCCCCGCGCGGCACAGCCCCCTGTTACTTACTACTACTCCCCTGCTTGAATCTGAACAAACCCGCGTTTACCGTGGCCCCCTCCCAGCGTTTCCGCGCTACTCCGCGACCGGTATAACTGAACTGCACTGCTATTATTCGTTTTGTCTGTTCGACTACTACCATAAATAATAAATAATTTCGGTAATATCATTTTAATATTTCAAATATGTTAAAATTTTATTATTATATTTTTCTTACTTAAATATTTATTCTTAAAAAAGCCTTATCTTGTTATTTTAGAGAGTTGATAACGAGATATGAAGCTTTAACCAAGGTGTATATATATATATATATATACATACACATACTCACCAGTTATTAAAAAATAATAATAATAATTAATATTTAATTAATGGTAAAATTCTATATTATTTAACTAGTATTTGATTAATATTATCTTTAAAATGTATTCTAAATATGTCTTTCATACATAACTGATAATCAGAAGATAAAATTCAAATTTTATAAATTGATAGTAAAGTTGTTTTTGATTCTCATTGAAATTTATTATTAAATTGATGGAATATTAAATTATTAATTCTCTTAATGAATATTTATTTTTAAAATTAAAAATTAAAAAAATCCAATTAGCCAAAATAAAAACTGAATCTATCTTGTTTTTGTACCTTATTATACTCAATGGCAGCAATTATTGCAAGCACCTTTAGTTGGAAATTTCTAGTTGAATTTGTTTCTTGTCAATATTTTATATTACAATTAAATAGAGGAATTTTAATTTCTGTTATATATATATATATATATATATATATATATAACAATAAAAAAACAAGAGTACAAAATGTTTGATTAAAAATTAAAATCAACACGTAAAATTATAAAAAATTATAAATCGAATGCTAATATTTCTTTAATTGGTATCTACCAACATTAAACAAGTCAATCATATACTCTAATTGTTTTTAGTTCTTTCAAGAAAAAATCCATATGTATATATGTGTATACATATATATATTTATAATTTATTTATTTTTTTATTAAAAAATATTTTATTGTATGCTCATTATTTAATCAATGTAATTGGTTTTATTTTTTGTGGTTACAAAAGACTACATCTATAACAAAAGAAACATTGAATAAAACTAAATTAAAATAAATGAATTTGTTTTAGTAGATGTCACCTTATGAATATTTAATTATAATTCATTTTGGTACTTTAATGATATTTTAAAATTACAACAAATGTGCTAATAAAATAATAAATTCTATGAAATCCAAAATAATTTATTTCAAATAATAATTATTTTTTAAACATAATATATATATATATATATATATATATATATAACCTTCTAACATTAATTTAGATAGTTTATATGTATCAACTAAAAAGATAAAAGGTAAGTATATGTATATATAAATATATATATATATATATAATAAAACATCTTTGTGCATATTTATATGACGTTAAATTTTCTACAATTTAACCAAAGTATGTCTACTTTAGTCTTACAAGACAACTTTCATTACAAACTAAGAAAGCTACAAATGTGTCATTATGCCATTTGGATTGATGAGTACTTTTGCAATAAAATAACCTTATCATAAAGAGTTTTCAAATCTATATCTTTTTCACTTTGTGCAACTTATTTTCTTATTGACTTTTGTGACTGTAGTAACTTAGATATTTGTTTTAAATAATTGCATTCTATTTCATAAACACTGTATTTAATATCAATAATAGCATAAACAAATATGTTAATCAAGCTCAGTTGGATGTTTTACTTGCCTATATTATGTTTTAGAATCGTAAAATTTTAAATATAGAGAAGATCAAAACAATTAACTTAATGCTTCAACTTAAAAACCTACACAACATCCATATTTTTAATGTTATGGTACAATTTAAAAAATTATATAATTAAAATCCATGAAATTAATTTTACTCTATAATTGTAAATTAAAAGAGTGAAAATTGGATTTTTATCTTAATTTGTGCATTTTATTGTATAAATATTATATTGTATAAATAAATTTCAGAAAAGAAAGTATCTAACAGCAAATAAACATATTTCAAAAATAAAAAATAAAGAGTAATCTCAATAAAAAAAAAAAAATCAATATATTTTTTACACATCATTTGAAGTATATTATATATTTTCTTTTAATATCTTTTTTATATATAATAATAATTTTTAAGACATCAAAATCGCATGATTTATACTACTATCTTACAAAAATTTAGAGTGCTTGCTTGTCTTCTTGGCGAAGCAAAGCTTTTGATAATATACAAAATAAATATATGGATTACTAATATTTATTTAAAATATAACATACATTTTGTATTCAAGTATCATCCTTATGATTGCATAATTTATTAATAGGAATGAGGTTAACCATCTTTTAGACAAATCTAAAATTTATCACAAATTAAGTTGGTTGATTTTATCAAACACAAATTGTATAAAATATCGTCTAATAACTGAAATCCCATACATTTACAACAATATAAAATGAGTTTATATATATATATATATATATAGATATTTAAATAAATGATCAAAAAATTTAATTATCCTATTTTTATTTGAGTTTCTTATCAATTAAGTCAAGATAAGATTTATATTAAATAAGAATCATGGTAACCATATAAATTGGTACATATAATTTAATGCATATAAAATAAATGAAAAAGCATGTTTTAGAAATAATCTTTTCTGTATAATCACAATAGGAAAAACAAGAATATGTAATATTTCAAAATGTCCATTCTGCACAATTCAAGTAAATTATTTGAATCATGTTATGCCAATTGAAAAACTTTCTGAAGGTCCTACAAGTATTAAACCTATTGTAGATATTATAAAGCTTCTAGTAGTTTATAGAAACTTATATTTTCCAACTATTGTTGTTTTTTTTTTATTATTATTTTTATCTTATTTTAATCAAAATATGGTCTTGAAGAATTGGCTGATTATAGATTTTTGAGTTGCTAAATATTATTCAGTAATATAAGATGACCCCTCATTCAAACTAAAGTATAGCTTTTAAAATATTAAGGTCTATTATACTAAAAAGCATAAAGAATAGGAAAACATGGTATTTGTTTTTAGATTTTTTTAATAAAAATCTAAGTATTAAATGATTTAAAATATAAAAATCATAAGAATAATTTGTGATTTCAAAAAATAGGTATAATATTAAAAATCAATATTACAAGAAAATCAATACTATTATTTTTAAGAGATTATAATTTTTCCATTTAGGTGAAAAGAAGAAAAACAAAATTCTTTTCAAAAGAATTACTTTTTAATATTTTTTAAAATTAATTTGAAAATAATATTCTTGCTAATATTTGGATAAAAGAAGATTGATTATTTTTAGTAAACTTTATTCGATTTTGTTTTTGCAGATAGTTATGTTACAAATGTATTGTCATATTTACTCACAAGGGCACTAAAATTTATAATTTATTCATTTCTATATTTTTTATTTTTTATTTTAATTTCAATGGTTTTTTAAACTCTAAAAAATGTGTTTTATAATTTTATTCTATAGAATTTGTAAGTTGTCTTTACAGGTCTATAATGACTTTTTTTTATAATTAAATTATGTCAAATGATAAACGGAGAGAATATTTCATAATCTTTGCATATGTGATATATAAAATGAAAATCTATGTTTTTGGTTGTGGTTTAATTTATATGCATCTGGTTAAGCCATAAAATATTTCTTTTAAAGTTTTTAAGTGAAATACATATAAAATAATAATTAAATCTTGAATTTGAATCAACAGTTATATATGAATGGCCACAATAAAATAAAATAAATTATGTTTTATAGTCTAATTTATAATTTTATTTTTTGGCTTATAATTTTGTTAAAGTGTTTATTATTTATTTTTAAAAAATAGAAATTTATATAAAGAATTTTATTTTTTTTTATTTTACCAATTATTATTAGAGTAACTTAAAATTTGGATTCAATTCATTTGATTCTAATGCCAATTTAAATTAAAGAAAATTTAATATATTATACTCCATTATAGATGAATTACTATAATCCATTTCTTATGTAAATGTAATCATTTATTTTTTATTTTTTAGATTAGTTACATTATCAAATTGTGTTAGGGACATAGTCCTTAGACCTTTCTAGAGACAAGTTTCTAGAACCTTCTAGAAAGAAGTCTCTAGAAACTTCCAGAAGATTCCTAGAATATTCTCTTAGAATAGTCTTCAAAGATTCCCTAAAGATTCTCTGAAGATTCCCTAAAGATTCCCTTAGAAGGCTCTAGAAGATTCTTAGAATATTCTAGTAGATTCTAGGAAGTTACTTGAGAAGCTTCCTAGCTCTTGGGTAGTTGCTCGAGAAGCTTCATAGTTCTTGGGAAGCTTCTTGATGCGCTTCCTTAGAACCATAGGCCAGTAGTATATATAGGAGTCGAGGCTGAAGAGTTCTTCAGTCTCGACAACACATCTCTTGGAGTTCTAGCTCACCTTTCTGGTATTGTTCTTGTACTCATCTGTTTAATCTAGTTCTACCACTTCTTCTTGAACTTCTTGTTAGATTTCAAGTCTGTATTTTGTGTCCGTGACAATTTGTCGAGACTACCTTTATCTTAATATCAGAGCTGAATCCTTCTTGTTTGAGAGCGGATTACCCCTCTTCTTGAAGGTATTCTAGCGCTTTAGGGGTTGCGGATTACCTTCCTCTAAACTGATATTTTCTCAATCACAATATTAGAGCTTAGTTCTTTGAGGCAGAGAGTGGACTACCCCTTTCCTTGGAGATACTTGAGCGTTCTAAGGGTTGCGGATTACCCTCTCTTGGACTGATATTAATTCCTTCTTTTTGTTTAGCATAGCTAGTAGAAAAGATTGTTAACATCGATTTCAGAGCTTTGCCTTCTTGATAGAGTGCGGATTACCCCTCTTCTCGAAAACATTGAGGCATTTTTAGAGGTTGCGGATTACCCTCCTCTAAAACTGAAATCGTTTAGTGT